GTTTGTTTGCCATTTCTCATGCATTAGGGTTTAAACACTCAGACACTTATTTGGACCCTCTTGCATGATGGCAGATATGTAATTATGTTGTTTTCTTGCCATTTCTTATGCATTAGGGCTTAAACACTCAGACAGTTATTCGAACCCTCTTGCATGATGGTAGATACGTAATTATGGTGTTTGTTTGCCATTTCTCATGCATTAGGGTTTAAACACTCAGTCACTTTTTCGGACCCTCTTGCAAGATGGCAGATATGTAATTATGGTGTTCATTTGCCATTTCTCATGCATTAGGGATTAAATACTCGGACACTCATTCGGACCATCTTGCATGATGGCAGATATGTACTTATGGTTTTTATTTGCCATTTCTCATGCAATAGGGTTTAAACACTGGGACACTTATTCAGACCCTCTTGCGTGATGGCAGATGTGTAATTATGGTTTTTACTTGCCATTTCTCATGCATTACGGTTCAAAAACTCGGACACTTATTTGGACCCTCTTGCATGATGGCAGATATGTAATTATGTTGTTTATTTGCCATTTCTCATGCATTAGGGATTAAATACTCGGACACTCATTAGGACCATCTTGCATGATGGCAGATATGTACTTATGGTTTTTATTTGCCATTTCTCATGCAATAGGGTTTAAACACTTGGACACTTACATTTATTCGGACCCACTTGCTTGATGGTAGATATGTAATTATGACGTTTATTTGCCATTTCGCATGCATTACGGTTTAAACACTCGGACACTTATTCGGACCCTCTTGCATGATGGCAGATATGTAGTTATGGTGGTTAGTTGCCATTTCCCATGCATTAGGTCTTAAACACTCTGACACTTATTTGAACCCTCTTGCATGACGGCAGATATGTAATTATGTTGTTCATTTGCCATTTCTCATGCATTAGGGCTTAAACACTCTGACCCTTATTTGGACCCTCTTGCATGATGGCAGATATGTAATTATGTTGTTTTCTTGCCATTTCTCATGCATTAGGGCTTAAACACTCGGACACTCATTCAGACCCTCTTGCATGATGGCAGATATGTAATTATGGTGTTTATTAGCCATTGCTCATGCATTAGGGTTTAAACACTCGGAAACTTATTCGGACCCTCTTGCGCGATGGCAGATTTGTAATTATGGTTTTTACTTGCCATTTCTCATGCATTAGGGTTTAAACACTCGGACACTTATTTAGACCCTCTTGCATGATGGCTGATACGTAATTATGTTGTTTACTTGCCATTTCTCATGCCTTAGGGCTTAAACACTCGTGCACTTATTCGGACCCTCTTGCATGATGGCATATATGTAATTATGGTGTTTATTTTCCATTTCTCATGCATTAGGGTTTAAACACTCGGACACTTATTCCGACCCTCTTGCATGATGGCAAATATGTAATTATGTTGTTTACTAAGCATTTCTCGTGCATTAGTGTTTAAACACTTGGACACTTATTCGGACCCACTTGCATGATGGCAGATATGTAATTATGGTGTTTATTTGCCATTTCTCATGCATTAGGGTTCAAACACTCGGACACTTATTCAGACCCTCTTGTTTGATAGCAGATATGTAATTATGATGTTTACTTGCCATTTCTCATGCTTTAGGGCCTAAATACTCGGACACTTATTTGGACCCTCTTTCATGATGGCAGATATGTAATTATGGTGTTTATTTGCCATTTCTCATGCATTAGGATTTAAACACTCGAACACTTTTTCGGACCCTCTTGCATGATGGCAGATATGTAATTATGGTTTTTACTTGCCATTTCTCATGCATTAGGGTTTAAACACTCGGACACTTATTTGGACCCTCTTGCATGATGGCAGATATGTAATTATGTTGTTTACTTGCCATTTCTCATGCCTTCACTACAGGAAAAATGGGATATGGTGGCATTTTTTTAACGACGTTTTTTTAACGTCACTTTTATTAATTTTTAACGGTGTTTTGTAAACGCCACCTATTCTTTAAAATAAAACTGCACCGTTTTATAATAGGAGTCGCTTTTAAATGCCTCCAAATCCGTTGGCCTCATGCGCCTCCTCTCTCCCACTTTGTTGAAACCCTTATTTTGAATCTGAGATGTAATACGCACGCATCTCTCTCTCTTTCTCTTAACCCTCTCATTCTCACACCTTCAAATCGCGTCTCTCTCCTGCTCACCCCCAATTGCTTCTAAACCCTCGAGATCGATTTTCTTGGAGATTCAGATTCATGCAGGTTCATTTTGAGATTCAGAGCGATTTCGATTTTGAAGATCTCTCTCTCGATTTCAAAGCTCCACCGTCTCTCTCTCTCTCTCTCTAGATCAGGCCGGTAATCGTAGTTTTATGAGAGAAGAGGGAGGACAGGGACTGGGAGCTTGCGAAGAGAGAGGCAGTGCTTGATTTCTCAGAGATTCAGATCGGTCTCAGAGATTTCATCTCCGAGCGATTTCGATTTTGAAGTTCTCTCTCTCGATTTCGAGGCTCCACCATGACCACCATCTGCACCAGCTAGGTATTGATTTCTGTCTCTCTCTCTCATGCTCTTCCTTCCCGTCTCTCTCGATTTGGTTATTGAAATTACAAACAAGTTTAATCAGGATTTGCTGGCCTTGTGTGAAAGTGACCGGAAGAAGGAGCTTTTGCTGCTACTACAGATCATTGACATAAAGATTATTTCTCTAGGTCATCTACCAAATATTTTCAGATCCTTGGGGAGGCTTTTATTGGAGTCTTTTGTGAAGAAATTCATTTTGGAATTAAAAAGCTGTGGTATGTCCATGATTCTTTCATTTTTATGATTTATAAATATAGCAAAGACCGAGTGCTCATTTTCTCGATTATGAGTCCAGAAATTTGTCTGTCTCTGATTTTGCAGCAGTTCTATTTATGCTTGGGTTCGGATTTTGAAGCGAATTGGCATCCTTAATGGAAGTATTAGTACCTTTTGTGTGTTCTGTAACAATTGGGTTGAGGAAAAATGGACCATGTTCTGTTGCTCTACCCGTTGAGTTGGTGTGTTTGGTCGAATATTTTAATTGGTGGCGAATCCAATGGGTCACGCCGGGTCCGGTGATAGAGTTGTTGCATTGGTGGGATGGGGTTTCTTTCAGAAAGATAGAAAAACAAATTTGGAAAGTAATCCCCATGGCAATTTTGCTGCTCAAAAATAAATAAATAAAAATTGCCAACAGGGTGAAGCTTAACCTCAAGGGAGTTTTGTATTCTGTCAATGATTTTCTATATAACCTGCAGCATATTCGGTCATGTTATTAGACTTGTGGTTAGGATTGTTGTTAGATATTGGCTATGTTGTTTCTTGTTGGTTTTGCTTGGGCCTTCTCTATTGACATTATAAAGGGTTGTTTGTTTAATTTCTATTAGGGGTATTCAAAATAGCCTGAGAACTTAAGAATCGAAGAATTGAATTAAACCGGTCTCTTTGGGTTAGCTTGATTTGGTTTGTTTAGACCATTGGTTTGGTTCCGGATCTTCAATTTGTCAAACCGATAGGATTGAGTTGTTTCTTAATTTAGACCTTATTTAAACCTAATCAACTTGAGAATCAAACCTATATATGCATATATAATTTTTTTTTTCTTTTTTTAATATTGACGTGTCTTTATATTACCATGGTTTTGTATGTGATTTCAAAATCCTCTTTTCATGAAGCTTGTGCAATTGAACAAATTTTGAATTATTGGTCCAAGAGTGATAGATTCTGCTTCATGTTAAATGATTTAGCCTACTAACAAGGTAAATGATTTATTGTAGAGAATATGAGAAATTATGAGCCTGCTTCTGTTCCTTTTAACCCACAATCAAAACAATGTGTAATGAGGTTGGCCTGTTCTTTATCAAGCAGTGAAATATGAAATTGTTCCCCGTACAATAGTTTTTTCAATGCTGATAATCTAAGTGTTAAGATATAATTTTTTACAAGCATGCGCAGTTAACTTAGACTTTGTAAGACCATATTTTAAATTTGCATACACTTGATAAACACACACTAATCAATATTATATGATAAATTTATTTTTATTAAACTTTATGTTTGGGTGGTTTCAGGGGCTGGACAATATAATTGCTTGAAGTCTCGTGCACAAAATAGAAAAGCAATATATAAATGCTAGGTGTACACACACTAATCAATTATTCTATTGTCTATTCTATCTATCTAGGTAATTATTCTACTGTCCTTTTCTTTTCTTCTCTTTCTTCCTTCCCCAAAGCCCCTCTCCAGGTGTGTGGGAGAGAACAAATAAAATTTACTTTTTGGAAGCTAAAATCTTGTTAAAACAGGTGTTTAATTGTGTTTTTCGCATGTATTTCACAGGTATTCGTATTTTGGTGAACTCAAATTCCTATTTTGGCTCAAATAGAGGGGCATCCAATTTTTGTGACTCCTTAATGTCATTAGTGTTTGTATTCTATCTATTATAATCCGAATAGTCTAACGTGCCAACTTATGATTAGCAAAGTAGAATCGGTAAGGTGGTTTTTATTTACACTTGCTTTAAACTTTGTTTCCTTGAATTAAATTTTTTATTTTTTTTTTATTTTTATGTATGTTTATATTCTGAATGAATGTAAGAAACTTACTTTTAAAAATCGTTAATTAATTATGTTTATATTTAAAAATGTTTGGTTTTTCACTTCCTGTCATTGAGGAGTTGGTGGAAAAAATTCATTAGATTGAGGAGTTGCCACTGCAAGAATTTCATGGCCACACTAGTGATGTCTTGGATCTGGCCTGGTCCAAATCTAATGTAAGTTATTGCTTACTTGCAAAATACCTTTAAAATTTTCCGATTTGTTTAAAAAAACATAATAATGTTTTTGAGGTCAAAATGTAATACATTAATATGGGCAAGGCCCAGGTATGTATACTATATCTGAAGTACACAAATAAATTAACTACTGTCATACTTTTGCAGCTTACAAGATATAGTAGTATGTAACCATTAAAGAGGGTACAGTGATTAAAGCTTTGGTTCTTAAGTGGTTAAAACACAGGTTTAAATAAAGCATGAGGACAGACACTTTGTGCAAGTTAAGGCCGAAATTTTCTTTGTAACCTCCGCTATGCCAACCTTTACTAATAGAATGACCATTTATTTAAAATACTGATAAGATTGCCTCTCCAAACACTAATGCTTTTGAAGCAGGTCATTGGAATGAAAAAATATTGACATCCTTGATAGCACCATTGTTGCAGCAAATAACTCATGTTTTATGTATACTCACTACAACAAAAGTAACCTATGGTGACGAAAACTAGTGAAGAAAATAAAATTCGTCACTAAATGAAAATAATTCGTGAGGAATTTATAAATTTTGTCACATATAATAAAAAAATAAAAATGGTAGGTGACAAAATTTATTTTCGTCAATAAATACTTCATTTTAAGTGAGGAAAAATTAAGTTTCGTCACCAAAAATTTTCCCCCTATTTTTTCCCGGTGGCGCCAAAATTTTGGGACTTTTGGTGAGAAAATTTTTTGTCACTAATTATAAAATTATTTGTGAGGAATATATTTTCGTCACCAAAACGTTTTAATATTTTTGATATCTTTTGGTGAGGAAATAATATTGTCACCAATTTTGGTGGGAAATTTTTGATATATTGAGCGGCAATAAAAAAAAATAGGGTATTAATTTTTTTTACCCTTTTTTCTGTTTTTCATCTCTCTCTCTCTCTCTCTCTCTCTCTCTCTCTTAAAATAGGGTATTAATTTTTTATGCCCCCTTTTTTGTTTATCAACTCTCTCTCTCTCTCTCTCAAAACACACGCACGTTACCTCTCTGCCATCGCTCTTTGCCCTCGCTACTCCACCTTCAATGCCTACACTACTGTTGGCCTTTCTTGTATACACAGGACTCCACTCTCTACATCAAATGCGGGTTGTTTTTTCTCTATTTTTTTTCTTGCATTGCATCAATTTAATTGCGTTGTTTCAAAAATTTTATGGGTTTTCAATCTTCACAATTTTTTTAGCTTATACTTTGTTGTTGATTTGGTAAATAAATTAGTGAAGAAAACAAATTTCGTCACTAAATAAGAATAATCCATGAGGAATTATAAATTTTGTCACGTATAATAAAAAAAATTTTGCATTCTATGCATTTATTGCTCTCTTGGTTTACAGGTAAAACAAGTTCTATCTTCACCTGCTTCCATTTTGTTCTCTTGGCTTTTGTGTGTAGAGACAGTTTTTCATGTGGCCTTTGTCGTCCTAAATTTCTGTTTAGTTATGCTTAACATTTCTGACATCTTTCACTTTCAGAACAAAACATGGAACTCCTTATTCACCTAATTTGAATTCCAAGTCATGTCAAAAGCTTTCATGTGGTCTTCAATTTTATTTCTTTTCAGTTGACTGATTGTCTTTGTCTGCAGTATAAAATTTAACATAATTTGTCTTTCATGTGTCTTCTTTTGCTTGCAGATATTTGGTGGTCTAGTCAATGCTGGAAACCCAAAATTAGAAGGAACAGATCTTTCTGATAATGAGTATCCTATGCCATTAAGTTAAGAGTATTTTAATACACCTTCTGGGACATGCGTTATTCAATCCATAGTTGTTTTTGATAGAATATTAATGATTTACCTACATTTACCAAAGACCTACATCTCCAAGAGCTGACATTGTTATTTTCCTGTTCATTGCACTTTCTAAGGTGTTGTGTATGAGTTAAATTTTAGTTTTGTGACTCAGTTTTCTTGACAGAGGAAGCTACCTACTTTTCAATTTCAATGACTACCCAAATGGAATGGTGACACTTTTCAATTTACTAATAATGGGAAACTGGCAAGCCTGGATGCAGGTAACACTAATCTGTCACGATCATCTATATCTTCTCTTCATTCATACTGCTCTGTGCATGACTGAAGAATATGTCAACTTGTCTTTGCAGTTCACTTGTCTTTGACTAAAAATTGAGTAGACTCCTTTTGACAGCTTAACTTGCTTTGACTGTGTTGGGCTGGAAATCCTACTCATCTCATCATAAGAAAGGTGTGGTAAAAATCTTTTCTGCTCATCTCATCAGGTGGTTCTTTAGATGGATTTGAATGGAACTTCTTTATTTCGTGTTAACAATTATATTATAATTCATTTTCTGTAGCTTTGAATGAAGATGTGCAATTATTTGATACCTTTAACAAGTTATCATGATGTATCAGCAGATATCTTACAATATTCCAGATATGCCAACAAATGATATTACAAAAATCCGAAGCTCTCAGTTTTATTTGGATACCAAATTGGCCAAAAAATTGTTATGGATTCATTTGATGCTGTTTAATTCATGTGATGCCTAGTGGAATGCATGGTATATTTTGATTTTGAGATGCGCAACTTTCACCACCTATGGCCTTTCTCTTCACAATATTGCCCACTGCAGTCTGTAAATGTGCTACTTGAATATATGGAAAACATTGTTTTGTTCTGCTGGTATGTGCAGAGAGATCTGAGCAGCTGGACTGGGATACACGTCTAAATAGCATCATGGGAGCTGCAAAAGGGCTGGCATACTTGCACCATGATTGTTCCCCACGAATTATATATCGTGACATAAAGTCAAGTAACATTTTGCTTGATGGGAATTTTGAGGCTTGAGTATCTGACTTTGGATTAGCCAAATTATTAGAAGATGAGGAATCTCGGATTACGACTATTGTAGCTGGAACATTTGGGTATCTGGCTCCAGGTAAGGCAATTTAAATTACAGCTGACACTCAAATGCTCAAAACTTTATTATTGAGATTGTTAGTGGGGAATACTACTCTTGATGTTGGTTTCACTAAGACTAATGTGCGGCAGTCTGATAGGTGGGTTTGAGGTTACCCTGCCTAATTACATAATAAAATTGGGAAAGCAAACTAGATGACATGAGGATAAAATTGGACTCAAATAAAACCAAAATTCAACCATACGAGGTCCTAACTGGATATCCTGACTTGATATCAATAAATTTTCAAATTTTGCTGCTTCTTTAAATTCACCTTTTTTTTTAATGGTATGCATCAAAGTTGTCAGGAAGATGCATTAGTTACGATTTTGAGAAAGAAAAGAATAATGTGGGTGCCTTCTGGGTTTAAGATATTGAACAATGTTACACCGTATCATAAAATCTGTTGTTTCAGTTTTTGACTTTCAATTGAACTTGAGAAGCAGCAGGCATGTGGAGCACCGGCCCAAGTTTTTTCTATTTTGTAACGCCGTAGTATAGCTACTGTGATTTTGGTATAAGCATTCAACGTAGTCTATTCTGAATTGAGTGTATTACTTCACTGGCAAAATGAATGCAAAGCGGTAGAGCAATAGAAAAGACTGATGTTTATAGTTTTGAGGTTCTGGTTCTTGAAGTAGTGAGTGGAAAGTGACCCACTGATGCAGCATTTATTGAGAAGGGCTTCAACATTGTTGGCTGGGTACTTCTCTTCCCTACCCGTGTTTACACTGCTTTCATTCAAATATGTATGACATGATTGTGGAGCTCACAAGGCGAATTAAGCTTCTTATTTTCCTTGATTAATGATTTCATATGAATCTTCAGAAGATCAGAGGTTCCAGCCTCCATATCACCAATCTCTTGTTTTGAAGGAAAAAAAAACAGTATTCTAGAGATGATGTTAATTTAATAGATAATAGTGATTTCACTTGGTACAGTTTATAGCACCTTGACATGACTGACTTTAAATGTCAGCACAATCACCAAAGATCATCTTCAAAAGTATATATCGACACACACATCCAGAATGGTAGGTGGTGTCATAAAGTTATGAGCATCTTGTCTGTTCATAATTTATTGCTAGTTCTATTTAGTTGTTAACATGTTCGCTTCACCTTCATTCATCTATCAATTATTCAATGCCGTCAATTTACTTTCTTGAAGTCCTGAACATTGGGTGTTCTACCTGGAGCTACTATTCTAGGTAATTGTTGCTTCTATAGCTGTGAAGCATGAGGACCTTGTTGAGCAAGTGAAGAAGTTGTTTACCAAATTTTCATCGGATCCAACCACAACTTCTGAATTCGTTGCCAAAGGGCCAGCAATTTTTTCAGGATTATTTGTGTTAAAATCCTTCGATTTTTTATTTATCTTATTTTATCTTTTTTTCCTCGGATCTGACAGTGGGTGTTTTGGTTCATTTCTTATTTTTTGTATTAAATGGGGGAGTGGTGAGAGAGAGAGGAGGGTAATGTTATTTTGTGGCTTTGTATATAAAGGTAGTAATTTTTTGATTGAAAATTGCTATTCTAGGTAATTGTTGCTTCTATAGCTGTGAAGCATGAGGACCTTGTTGAGCAAGGGAAGAAGTTGTTTACCAAATTTTCATCGGATCCAACCACAACTTCTGAATTAGTTGCCAAAGGGCCAGCAATTTTTTCAGGATTTTTTGTGTTAAAATCCTTCGATTTTTTATTTATCTTATTTTTTCTTTTTTTCCTCGGATCTGACAGTGGGTGTTTTGGTTCATTTCTTATTTTTTGTATTAAATGGGGGAGTGGTGGGAGAGAGAGGAGGGTAATGTTATTTTGTGGCTTTGTATATAAGGTAGTAATTTTTTGATTGAGAATTGTGAATTCAATTTTTGAATATGTTATTTTGTGGGAAAATTAATGTTATATTAAATTGAACGGGAAAGTGAATTAATGCTATATTTGTTATTTGAATGGGAATTATTATTTCATATTAGTGTTATCAAGTTTTATTATTGGTGTTCTTTTAGTTTAATCACATAAAATTAGCACAATTTCAAAACCAAAAAAAAAAGAAAGATAAGATGGCGTTTTTAAAATGTCACTATAACGGTTGGAATTTTTAAAATTAAAAAAACCTATGAAGGCGTTTTAAAAGCATCGCTAAAATCATAGTGACGTCACAGTATTGTTAGGGCAGGACATTTGGCGGTGTTTTTAAAAACGCCGCCTATACTAATACAGCGACGTTTCCCAAACGCCATAAAGTTATAGCGACGGCCGCGTCGTCGACGCTTGGTACTAAACGTCACAAAAAGAATTAGCGACGTTTTTCATACTTATAGCGGCGTTTTTTAAACGCCGCTAAAAGCCTAATTTCCAGCAGTGCTTAGGCCTTAAACACTCGTACACTTATTCGGACCCTCTTGCATGATGGAATATATGTAATTACGGTATTTGTTTGCCATTTCTCATCCATTATGGTTTAAACACTCGGACACTTATTCCGACCCTCTAGCATGTTGGCAAATATGTAATTATGGTGTTTACTTGCCATTTCTCATGCATTAGGGTTTAAACACTCGGACACTTATTCGGACCCTCTTGCATGATGGCAGATATGTAATTATGGTGTTTATTTTCCATTTCTCATGCAATAGGGTTTAAACACTCGGACACTTATTCAGACCCTCTTGCTTGATGGCAGATATGTAATTATGATGTTTACTTGTCATTTCTCATGCATTAGGGCCTAAACATTCGGACACTTATTCGGACCCTCTTACATGATGGCAGATAGGTAATTATGGTGTTTATTTGCCGTTTCTCATGCATTAGGGATTAAACACTCGGACACTAATTCGGACCCTCTAGCATGATGGCAGATGTGTAATTATGGTGTTTACTTGCCATTTCTCATGCATTAGGGCTTAAACACTCGGACACTTATTCGAAACATCAAGCATGATGGTAGATATGTAATTATGGTGTTTATTTGCCATTTCTCATGCATTAGGGTTTAAACACTCAGACACTTATTTGGACCCTCTTGCATGATAGCAGATATGTAATTATGGTGTTCATTTGCCATTTCTCCTGCATTAGGGATTAAATACTCGGACACTTATTCGGACCCTCTTGCATGATGGCAGATATGTAATACGGTGTTTACTTGCCATTTCTCATGCATTAGGGCTTAAACACTCGGACACTTATTCGGACCCACTTGCATGATGGCAGATATGTAATTATGGTGTTTATTTGCCATTCCTCAAGCATTAGGGTTTGAATACTCGGACACTTACTTGGACCCTCTTGCATTATGGTAGATATGTAATTATGTTGTTTGCATGCCATTTCTCATGCGTTAGGGCTTAAACACTCGGACACTCATTCAGACCCCTTTGCATGATGGTAGATATGTAATTATGGTGTTTACTTGTCATTTCTCATGCATTAGGATTTAAACACTCGGACACTTATTCAGACCCTCTTGCTTGATGGCAGATATGTAATTATGATGTTTACTTGCCATTTCTCATGCATTAGGGCCTAAACATTCGGACACTTATTCGGACCCTCTTACATGATGGCAGATATGTAATTATGGTGTTTATTTGCCGTTTCTCATGCATTAGGGATTAAACACTCGGACACTAATTCGGACCCTCTTGCATGATGACATCTATGCAATTATGGTGTTTACTTGCCATTTCTCACGCATTAGGGTTTAAACACTCGGACACTTATTCCGACCCTCTAGCATGATGGCAGATGTGTAATTATGGTGTTTACTTGCCATTTCCCATGCATTAGGGCTTAAACACTCGGACACTTATTTGGACCTTCTTGCATGACACAAGATATGTAATTATGTTGTTTGCTTGCCATTTCTCATGCATTAGGGCTTGCCGTTTCTCATGTATTTGGGTTTAAACACTCGGACACTTATTCGGACCCTCTTGCACGACGACAGATACGTAATTATAGTATTTACTTGCCGTTTCTCATGTATTTGGGTTTAAACACTCGGACACTTATTCGGACCCTCTTGCACGACGACAGATACGTAATTATAGTATTTACTTGCCGTTTCTCATGTATTTGGGTTTAAACACTCGGACACTTATTCGGACCCTCTTGCACGACGACAGATACGTAATTATAGTATTTACTTGCCGTTTCTCATGTATTTGGGTTTAAACACTCGGACACTTATTCGGACCCTCTTGCACGACGACAGATACGTAATTATAGTATTTACTTGCCGTTTCTCATGTATTTGGGTTTAAACACTCGGACACTTATTCGGACCCTCTTGCACGACGACAGATACGTAATTATAGTATTTACTTGCCGTTTCTCATGTATTTGGGTTTAAACACTCGGACACTTATTCGGACCCTCTTGCACGACGACAGATACGTAATTATAGTATTTACTTGCCGTTTCTCATGTATTTGGGTTTAAACACTCGGACACTTATTCGGACCCTCTTGCACGACGACAGATACGTAATTATAGTATTTACTTGCCGTTTCTCATGTATTTGGGTTTAAACACTCGGACACTTATTCGGACCCTCTTGCACGACGACAGATACGTAATTATAGTATTTACTTGCCGTTTCTCATGTATTTGGGTTTAAACACTCGGACACTTATTCGGACCCTCTTGCACGACGACAGATACGTAATTATAGTATTTACTTGCCGTTTCTCATGTATTTGGGTTTAAACACTCGGACACTTATTCGGACCCTCTTGCACGACGACAGATACGTAATTATAGTATTTACTTGCCGTTTCTCATGTATTTGGGTTTAAACACTCGGACACTTATTCGGACCCTCTTGCACGACGACAGATACGTAATTATAGTATTTACTTGCCGTTTCTCATGTATTTGGGTTTAAACACTCGGACACTTATTCGGACCCTCTTGCACGACGACA